TATCATTATCCTGTCGGCCTCTCCTTTGACCTTGAGGTACAAGAAGCACCTCATCTTCACCGTTATCATCAACCTCCTCCCCCGGGACTACGTTTCCAAGAGGGTCATTGTTGTTGTTTGCCTCCATTTTGTACCCGAAATTGGCGTCACACACAAATTAGTATCACAGAAGGAAAGTAAAACAATACAAAACTATTTAGATAGATAGCCAAAACCGTTAGCTCCCAGGCAACGACGCAAAAAAGTGATCGGATCCAACCCTACACCACTACAAAGTGGCAAGAGCAGTCGATGCAGCTTTTATCCGAGAAGGTCGGGATCGAACCCAAAGGGAGCTACAAAAATGTTTGGAGTTGGATTTCTATCTAATCTAGAAGTGCTTAGTGCTCTTGATTACACTTCCAATCATATTTGTTTGTTTGTTACTTCTAATTTTATGCTAATGATATGCGAAATTAAGCTAAGTATGAATGCTTGTAGGGTTTTCTAAATGATTAACGAGGCACTAGGGAAGTGACTTTCTCCTAGGTGAATACTTGACGGGTTCTAAAGCCTAAGACAAAGTTGTTAGGACTGGGATCACGATATAGCCAATGCACGACACTACTCACTCTATACCTCTCGGTAGCTTGAGTGACTTTGCCCTAATTGACTTTCTCAAGACCAATTGGGTGTCAAAAATTATGCAAGCAATATAGGCTCAAGTCGGGTATTACTATCTCTAGATTAAACCCTTTACTTGGGGCTATCAATCTCTTGAATACGCCCCAATTCCTTGTTGAACTGATTTTCCTAGACTCAAGCTCTCTTTCTCAAGAAGAGCCCAAGTCAAATAGGCACAAATTAGTGTTTGCAACCACTAATTCAACATGAAAAACACAAATCATTCCAAATATCAACCACCCATACACATCTAAGCCTTAAAACAAAAGACCCATCAAATACCCACACTAGGGTTGAGCCACAACCCTAGCTAATGGGTCTAGCTACTCATAATAATAGAAGAAATCAGATATTTAGATGAAGAACAATCCATAATATATAATTACAAGCTAAGATTTGAAGATTCAATGTTAAACAAACTATAAAATTACTCAAAATAGACTAAAACCGCTGTTCACGTGCTCCGCTAAGATAAAGATACCCTAAAAATCTAAAAAAGAAGTATTATACATGGCCGAATTTTCTGGACAAAAATACCCCTGACGGAGGTACCGCGGACCGCGGAAAATGCACTGTGGCCGCGGTGAGGCTTTTTGGCTTCACTTCTCATTCTCTGTATCTGGCCACCGCGGACCGCATAAAATGCACCGCAGCCGCGATGGCTTCACCGCGGACCGTAACAAATGGACTGCGGCCGCAGTGTCTTGAAACTTCCGAAATCCTGAGCTCTCTAAATCCCCTCTCTGCGGACAGCAACAAATGGACTGTGGCCGCGATGAGGCTACTGCGGCCGCGAAGAATCTTCCACGGACCGCACTGCTTAGAACCCCAGGAATGCACCTCTCTGAACTTATCCACTTCGGACTACACTAAATGGACCGCAGCCGCGATGGGTCTGTTGCAGCTGCAATGGATTTTATGCTGCAGCTGTGCTTTGACTTGCTCTTGGTACTTGTGCGGGTTTCCCTCCTTTTTGAGCTGGTTTTGACTTATGGTCACTTTTTTGACCAAACCCTGCAACCAAGTACAACATGTAAGCTATTGGGACTATTTGTATACATTTTTAATCCAAAACTCAAGTGAAAAGGAGTATAAAATAAACTAGAATCCCTATTTATCACGCGGCCGCATAATTCTACCGCGGTTCGCGTTTATTTACCTGATGAAGAGCATTTTCGGAACATGCCCGCTGAGAGCGGAAAAACGAGCGCGGACGTGTAAGGTCAACGCGGACCGCGAAATAACGACCGCGGACGCGAATACAACTTCAGAGAGTTGATATTTTGGACTTTTCAAGTCCGCTTCCACTGACAAATTGTGCCCCCGTGAAAAGCTCTCGCTGACTGCAAAATTGTGAGCGCGGTCAGCGTAATTCCCCATACTTAGGCAAAACTTTTCCAACAACAATCCTGCACTGCACAAACAATTCCTACACAAACTTCACAACTAGTTAGTTCAAAACAAAACCTAAACTAAGAAGAAAATCAAAAAGAAAGAAAGACACATGGGTTGCCTCCCAAGAAGTGCCTGATTTAACGTCGCAGCACGCCGCATGTTACCATCATTCACTTGAAATGGATCATTGCCACCACGTGGCCATCATTAAACTTGCGAAGATAGTGCTTCACTCGGTTCCCATTAACTCGGAAGATTTCACCATTTTTGTTTTTCAAATCAAGAGCACCAAACGGAGTTACATACACCACTTCAAAAGGGCCACTCCATTTTGACGTGAGCTTTCACGGAAACAGTCATAACCGAGAGTTGAATAGAAGAACCAAATCACCCTCCTTGAATTCCTTGTTCCGGGCATATTTGTCATGTAAGTACTTCATATTGTCCTTATACAAGGACGAGCTGGAATAGGCATGAAACCTAAACTCATCAAGTTCATTTAGTTGCTCTACCCGGAGATTTGCAGCTACGTCCCATTCAAGGTTTAACTTCTTCAGCGCCCACATGGCCTTATGCTCTAATTCAACCGGAAGGTGGCATTCTTTCCCAAATACCAACCGGTACGGAGACATACCAATTGGAGTCTTGTACGCAGTTCTGTAAGACCACAAATCATCATCAAGTTTCCTTGACCAATCAGTCCGGTTTGCATTGACAGTTTTTGATAATATGCTCTTTATCTCCTTGTTGGAGACCTCAACTTGTCCACTAGCCTGGGGATGATAAGGGGTTGACACTTTATGGTTGACACCATACTTGGAGAGTAAAGTATCGAAGGCCTTGTTGCAAAAATGAGACCCCCCATCACTGATGATCGCCCTAGGAGTGCCAAACCTTGTGAAGATATTTTTCTTCAAGAAAGCCACCACACTCTGTGCCTCATTGTTGGGCAAAGCCACAGCTTCAACCCACTTGGAAGCATAATCAACAACAACCAGAATGTAAGTGTTACCACATGAACTCATAAATGGTCCCATGAAGTCAATGCCCCACACATCAAAAATATCAATCTCAAGAATAGTGGTGAGAGGCATTTCATCCTTCTTGGAAATTCCACCGGCTCTCTGACACTCATCACATCTCCTCACAAGCTCACTATCATCTTTATACAAGGTAGGCCAATAAAATCTACAGCTGAGCACCTTTGAAGCAGTTCTCGCCCCACCATGATGACCACCGTAGGACGAGGAATGGCAAGCATCAAGAATACTCCTTTGCTCCTCTTCCAGGACACATCTCCGGATCACATCATCATTATAAAATCTTGAAAAGATAAGGCTCGTCCCAGTAATAATCCAAGATATCCTATTTAAGCTTCTTCCTTTGGTTAGAAGATAGCTCACACGGGACAATGTTGGTCACAAGAAAGTTAGCCACATCGGCGAACCAAGGCATACTATTCACAGACACGGAGAGGAGTTGTTCATACGGAAACAAATCAATAATTTCGAGGCCATCATGGGGCCTCCCCTCCTCTCCCAAGTGGGACAAGTGGTCTACCACTTAGTTTTCACACCCTTTTGGATCAACAATTTCAAGGTCAAACTCTTGCATCTCATCAACCTAGCCTTAGAGTCCTTTTTTGTCATCAAGTAACGGAGTGCCGCGTGATCAGTGTGCACAATCACTTTGGTACCCATAAGATATGGCCTGAATTTTTCCATGGCAAAGACATTGGCTAGTAACTCTTTCTCGGTCACAGTATAATTGACTTGGGTATCATTCATCGTTTTGCTTGCATAATAGGCCGGATGAAATATCTTGTTGATCCTTTGCCCCAAAACTGCTCCTACCGCAACGTCACTAGCATCGCATGAGCTCAAATGGTAAGCTCCAATTGGGTGCGGTGATGATGGGAGTGGTAGTCAATCTATACTTGAGAAGCTCAAAAGCTTTCATGCAATCATCATTAAACACAAACTTTGCATCCTTTACCAACAACTTGCACAAGGGATTCACCACTTTTGAGAAGTCTTTGATGAACCTTCGGTAAAACTCCGCATGCCCAAGAAAGCTCCTAACTCCCTTGACTAAAGTAGGAGGAGGGAGTTTTGAAATCACTTCAATCTTCGCTTTTGTCCACTTCAATACCGTTCTTTGAGATCTTATGGCCGAGGACAATGCCCTCCTCAACCATAAAGTGGCACTTCTCCCAATTAAATACTAAGTTGGTCTCTTCACATCGGGCCAACACCTTGTCAAGATTACCCAAGCATTCTTCAAAGGAGTCACCCACAACACTAAAATCATCCATGAACACTTCCAAGAAGTCCTCCACCATGTCCGTAAATATAGCCATCATACACCTCTAAAAGGTAGCCAGTGCATTACACAAACCAAATGGCATCCGTGAGAATGTAAATGTGCAATACGGACATGTGAAGGAGGTTTTCTATTGGTCTTCCGGTGCAATCAAAATCTGGTTGTAACCTGAGTACCCATTCAAAAAGCAATAGTAGGCACAACCGGCAAGTCTAGCCAACATTTGGTCAAGAATGGGCAATGGAAAATGATCTTTGCGGGTCACTTTGTTCAGCTTTCGATAATCCATGCAAACCCTCCATCCGGTGACAGTCCTAGTGGGGATCAACTCATTTTGCTCATTTGTGACCACAATCATACCCCCCTTCTTAGGTACACAATGTACCGACGAAGTCCATGAACTATCCAAAATGGGGTACACAACCCTTGCATCTAGCCACTTGATAATTTCCTTCTTGACGACCTCTTGCATGGCCTCATTCAACCTCCTTTGATGTTCCACGAAGGGTTTGGCATCATCCTCAAGTATAATTTTGTGCATGCAAAAGGCGGGGCTTATCCCCCGAATATCAGCTAGAGTCCATCCAATTGCCTTCTTCCTTCTTTGGAGCACCGCAAGGATGGCATCTACATGCACGTTAGTTAAGTACGAAGAAAGAATAACAGGTAAAGTTGAACAAGGGGCCAAGAATTCATACCTAAGGTGTGAAGGCAAAGGCTTCAACTCCAATACGGGAGGTTCCTCGATTGAGGGCTTTGTTGGTGGAGTCTTTCGGTTCTCAAGATCCAAGGAAAGTTTTCGGGGCTCGTATGTGTAAGAACCCATTACTTGTAAAGCATTGACATATTCCACCAAGCCTTCATCCTCCACCACATCATGGTTCAACAACACAGCTTCCAAAGGGTCCTCCACATTTATCACAGCACTGGTATCTTCAACAATCACCTCAGTCACAAGATCCACAAATGAACATACTTCGTTGCTATTGGGCTGCCTCATTGATTTGCAGACATGGAACATAACTTTTTCATCACCCACCCGGAAGGTGAGCTCCCCTGCTTCCACATCAACTAAAGCCTTCCCTGTAGCTAGGAATGGTCTCCCCAATATGATCGGAACCTTATAATCAACCTCGCAGCCCCCACCATTCTTCAAATCCCTATCTACCAAAACTCCCAAATCCCTGACCAGCCAATTTGGAAACCCAATGCTTCTGGTACCTTTACCTGTGCATCTGCTTGGGAGGTTGTTAGAACCAAAAGGCCAATCCTTGTTACCAATCACAAGAAAATTCCCTTCAGATGGTCCTTTTGCCTATGGAGAGCCCTTAGGAATAAACTTCCTACTAATGATAGAGTAGCCAGGTTTGGACCCCCTTCTGTCAACAGATGTGTTTGCTGCATTAATTCCCAGGCTGAATCTGTTGACCATATTTTCAGCAGAGGCCATTTTGCTAAGGCTGTTTGGAAAATTTTCACTGGCCCTGCCGGTTTGCTTTTTGAAGAAATGTCACTCCAAAACCTTCTTATGAAATGGTGGATTCAGAAGCCCAGAAATGAAATCCACAAATTGCTCTTGGACACCTTCCCTATTATCATCTGCTGGAATCTCTGGAAGAGTAGATGTGGAGCAAAATATGGCACCAAACATTCTTCCATGGTCAGAGTTGTTTTCTCCATTAACTCTAACATTAACCTTCTCCTCAAAACCACCTACCCTAACATCACTTGGCCATCTAAATGGTCTGGGATTTGCACCTTAACTGAGAGTCTAAATTTTCTCACCAAAACCACCCAGGTCTGCTGGCAAAGACCTACCCTTGGTCTTGTCAAAATTAACAGTGATGGAAGTGCCTTGAGTAATCCAGGAAGAATGGGAGCTGGGGCCATCATCAAAAATCATCAAGGGGACTTCATTCATGCCATTGCTAGTCCCTTAGGTGAAGGAACAAATAACCTTGCTGAAACTGAAGCTGCTTTTTTAGGGGTCAAGTGGTGCATTGACAATGGTTTTTCCAAAGTCCATTTGGAAGCTGATTCTGCTCTTCTGATCCACTGGTTAACCTCTTCTGCAACTCCTCCTTGGACCCTTGCAATGCACATTCATAAGCTCAAGGAGCTTTGCCAGCAGTGTGAATCCATCTACTACAGTCATGTCTACATAGAAGGCAATGCTCCTGCAGATTTCCTCTCAAAACTTAGCCATGATCTTCACACCATAACCTGCAGGACCTCCCTTCCCACATCAGAGGTCAAATCCTCATGGATAAATCCAGCATCCCAGCCTTCAGACACAAGCTGACAAACCAACTCCAAAATCATTCCCATTCTCCTAATACCTCTTCCCATGGTTATGGCTAATATAGATTCAGAAAGGGAGCCCTACAAATTTGTCCAAAAAATCAGTCAGCATCAGACAGTGTCTCAGCAAACAGCAGACTGATCTGCCCCTTCTAAAATTAACCACCTCTTCATGTCAATCCAAGTGCCTGAATTAGCAACAACAACACCTTGAAGGCAACCAATCATAAATCACAAAGAAACAGAAGCAATGGAAACAGGGGCAGAAATGCCAAAATTTCCACTAACTTTGTTTATTTTTTTGCAGGTTTCTTGTTTCAGTTTACCCTCAACCAATTCATAAACTATCAGATTTTGACAGTTCTAATAGTCTATCAAATGGAAAGAGATTATCCCCACTATAGCACACCTCCTTTCCACACCATACATCACCAAAAAAACCCTGATACACATCAACTGCAGGAAAACATTTTCCTCAAAACTGTTCCCACCAAGGCTCACATTTCCCACCAATTCAAGGCTTCTAGAACCCAGAATAACCTAGATGAGCCTCCCATCCTTTTGTTTCTCCACAAAACACATCCTTCTGAACCCCTCAATCACAACTGTTCCAAAAAACTTGATAATTCTGCCCAGTTACACTTTGATTATGTTTCAGGTTCAGCAGATACCTCATACCTCTCCTTATTCACACAACCGGTATGGTTCCTGAGAGTGATATTAACATCCCTTATGTTCACTTTCTCAGAACCAAACCAGTTGATGCTCTCTCACCCCTCCCACAGTAAGTTCATCACAAATCTGCAGCAACACTCACCCTTCCTAGCTGCAGGTGATGCAGAATTCCACCAGTTCTGCAGTTTCCTTAACACCTGCAGTCAGAGTCTTTCAATCCATGGTTCTCCTCTCTTCATGAGTATCTATACTACTGATTGCAGTTTATTCATAAACCTGCAATCAGAGTTTAGAACATGGATCACAATTGCTCCCCTCTCCCCAGACTCAACTCCAGAACCCACAAGAACCTGGAGTTTGAGCCCCCTTCACTAACATGTTTGCTGTCTTTTGCAGGTATTTGGAGTTCACTGGATCAACTGATGACTTTTTAGACAGTGGTATCAGTATTCTTAATGCTCATTTTGCTGAAAATCTATCAGTTGATCACAGTCTCTCCAATCTTTCTCACCTACTCACTCTCAACTATTTCAATGACAACCCAACACTCACAACAATTTCAGATTAGCAAGCTGGCTCAGATTCTGCAGTTCAGTCTCCAGCAGTTTTCAACCACAGTGTTGCTGATTGAATGCAGGGATCCAGTTGTCAACATTTCAGGATAGTGCTCCCTCTTTTCTGTCAAGAATCTCAAGCAGAATCAAAACACAAGCCCAACATCTTGGCCCCCTTTTGTTAGCCATCTTCAATTTGGATTTCTTTGGCACCAATGTCAAAGCAAAGTTGAAGATGGTTCCCTCAAACATCACATGGTTTTTGCATATTTTTCTAGGGACTTTTTACATGTTGTTTGGTGTAGAGTTTTATGTATATGGAAGACTAACTTCCAAACCAACTCTATGGTAGAATTAGGTTTTCTTGTACTTTTTTGTATAGTTGACCTAGGTTCACTTCATTATGGTTTTGTATATCCAATTGGCTACCATTGTGGGATAGTCAATAGGATCATCATTATAGGTCTAACTCATCATAGCATACAGGTCTCACCTGAATATCATAGTTAGATAATCAGGTGTCATTGTACTATATTTCTCGAGGTCAGGTTTATGCCCCCCTCCTTTGTTGTACTTTATGTTTTATATATCAAAATCAGCCCTAGGCACTATGCCTAGTGGATTTTTCTAAAAAAAAAACCTCGCAGCCAAGAATCACAAAATTCGCCGGAAGTATGAAATTGTCGACCCTCACTAACACATCATCAATGATCCCCAATGGCCTTTTCGTTGCCCTACCCGCCATTTGCAACCTCATGGATGTGGTCCTTGGTTGCCCAATCCCCAACGTCTTGAAAACAGAATGTGGCATCAAGTTAATGCTTGCCCCCAAGTCGCACAAAGCTTTGGCGAAATCGGCACTACCAATAGTGCACGGGATTGTAAAAGCACCGGGGTATTCTAGCTTTGGGCCATGGAATGTACAATGGCACTCACTTGATGCATCATCTTGATAGTTTCACAATTCATATATCTCTTCTTTGTTACCAAGTCTTTCATGAACTTGGCATATCCTGGAATTTGTTCTAGAGCCTCCACCAAAGGTACATTTTCGACAAACTCTTCATCATATCAATAAATTTCTTGAACTGGTTCTCATTATTCTATTTTGCAAGCCTCTGAGGGTATGGTGGAGGAGGCCTTGGCAAAGGAGCCTTGGCTTTGGGCACTACCATTTCCGGTATGTCTATCACGTGTTCCCTAGACGGGTTCACATCATTTTGTGTTTCCTCCATGTTGTCATCAATGTCAATTCTCACTTCTTCATTCACAATATCATCACTCACTTGGACATCATTGCTTTTCTCATCATTCTCTTGCACCAACACATCATCGCTCACAACCTTTCTTGCATTAGAGGTATTATCAACACCACCTCTAGCACTCCTTGTAGTCACTGCCATAGCGTGGCCCGTAGTGTTCCCTCCCTTCGGGTTTACTACCGTGTCACTAGTTAGTGCCCCCTTAGGGCGAGTGTTCAAAGCTTGCGAAATCTGGCCAAGTTGGACCTCCAAGTTGCGCATAGAAGTATTATGGGACGCCAATTGGGCATCGCACTCGGCTTTTTTTATCATCATTTGCTCAAACATTGACTCAATCCTTCCCATATCATTGTTTGACGAGCTAGGACCTTGAGACCAAAATGGAGGCAGGTTGTTTGGTTGTTGATACATCGGAGGCCTTTGAAAGCCCGGCCCCCGATTCCCCTGATTACCGTTATTCCAACCCCCTTGGTTGTTGTTGCCTCCCTGTTATTGCCACCCTAGTTTCCCTGGTTACCTTGGTTGCCCCAGTTCTGATTGTTGTTCCCCAGTTGCTTTGGTTGTTGTTGCCACTGTTTCAATTTCCTTGTTGGTTTTGATTCCCCCAATTTCCTTGGGATCTCCACTGTTGTTGTTGATTCGGAGCATTGCCCCGTTGTCCTTGGTAGTTGTTCACATACTGACCCCTCTTCACTTTGATCATCATACACATCATCTTGGTTGTAACCACTACCACCTTGCTCAAATTGATCCGGATTTCCTTGAGTTCGTTGACCTCTTTGCCACCACTTGTTGATCATCATATTTACCCCTTCCATGGCATTCACTTGTCTTGGCGCTTGAACTTGTTGCAATTGAGCTTTGGCCATTCATTGTTGTAGTTAACTTTGCTATTACTTGGCCGTGGTCATGGAGCTCTTTGTGTAGGTGAATGACATTGGGATCACCTTGTGGCACATTAGCTCGACTTTGCCACGCCGAGGAAGTATCTGCCATCTCATCAAGTATATCACATGCCTCAGCATAAGGTGTGTTCATAAAGTTTCCCCTGCTAGCTGGTTAACTACACACTAGTTGGTAGTGTTGAAGCCACGATAGAATGTTTGCTGGATCATGGCTTCGGTCATGTCATTGTTCGAACATTCTTTTACCATCGTCTGATACCTTTCCCAAATTTCATGAAGCGGTTCATTTGGCTCTTGTTTGAAGGCCACTATCTCATCTCTCAGTGCCGTTATATGCCCCGGCAAGAAGAACTTTGCTATGAACTTTTCGGCTAACTCATCCCAAGTAGTGATGGAATGGTTGGGCAATCTCTCAAGCCAATCCAAAGCCTTCCCCCTTAGAGAGAATGGGAAAAGCCTTAATCTCAACGCGTCCTCAGAAATGTTCATTTGCTTGCTCCCCCATCATGTATCAATAAAACCCTTGAGATGCTTATAGGCATTTTTGTGTAGAGCTCCGGTGAAGAAACCCCTCTGTTCAAAGAGTGTAAGCATAACGGGTTATTTGGAAGTTGCCCGCCCTAATCCGGGGTAGGACTATTGCACTTGTGTATCCTTCATTGGGCAATGTCCGGTGTGTTGCCCTTGCTGGAGGTGGGGGAGGTTTGGAATATTGTCATGAGGTGGTCGGCCTCTCTTTTGTGCTTGTGGTTCGGGTTGAATCTCATCCACATTATCATCATCTACCTCCTCCCCCAAAGGCAAATTTCCGGGAGCATCATTGTTAAGAGCCATATTGTACCTAAGAGCAATTCACAAACAAATTAGAAAAACGGAAGGAAAGAAAAACAAGACACACAAATAGTTAGATAGATAGCTAAAACCGTCTAACTCCCCGGCAATGGCGCCAAAAAGTGATTGGTTCCAAGCCTGTACCACTATCGGGTGGCAACGATGGCCGATGCAGTTTTACCAAACAAAGGTCGGGATCGATTTCCATAGGGAGTTAATTGATTTAGAGTTAGGTATCTAACTAATCTAGATATGCGTGTTGTTCCAAATTGCACCTCCAAACATGGTCATGATTGATTATACTTCTAATGCTATACTATAATATGCTAGAATAGGCTAAGTACACTATTTTTGTTAGTTGTTTTCAAGGATTAAAAGGGACTAGTGCAGTGAATTCCGCCTAGGTGGATATTTAACGGGTATCGAGAATTCAGGGCAAGCTTGTTATGATTGGGGTCGTGATATAACCATCACATATAAGTGCTCACTCTATACCTCTCGGTAGTTTGAGTGACTTTGCCCGATTCGACTTTCTCAAGTCCAAATGGGTGTTCATGCATAACAAATGGCGTTGGCTCAAGTCGGGTATTACTATCTTTAGGTTTAACCCTTTAATTGGGGCTATCAATCTCTTGAATGCATCCCAATTCCTTGTTAACCTAATTTTCCTAGACTTAGTCTCTCTTTCTCAAGAAGAGTCTAAGTCATCAAGGCACGAATCAGTGTTTGCAACCACCAATTCTACAATTAAATCATGAATTAACCTAAATATCA